TCGTTCTTTAAAAGTTGAATATTATACTTATTTTCTTTTTGGTGTTTTTTATATTTCAGGTTAGATATCCGAGCTCTTATTTTGGCAACAACGAGGAAGTGGTCAGAGTCTATGTTAGCTCCTCTGTGTGTCCTAACATCTAACAAGTTCGAGTAGTGCCGGCTATCTAAGAGGACGTGGTCAATTTGATTAAATGTTTTACCATCCGGGGAGCACCATGTCATTTTGTGTATGTCTTTATGTGGAAAACATGTGCTACCTATAACCAAATTAAGGGATACTGCAAATGTGATCAGACGCATTCCATTGTCATTTGTGTTTTCGTGCAAACTGTGGTTGCCAATTGTAGGAAGAAACGTCTGTTCTCGACCTAATTTAGCGTTAAAGTCGCCAACTATCATTTTAATGTCTCCTTTTGGTATCATTGTACATAAATCTTCGAGTTCGGTGTAAAAGCGTTCCTTCTGTTCATCATCCGTCTCTTCGGTCGGTGCGTGGACATTTACAATTGTATAGTTATGAAACTTACCCTTTATTCGTATTGTGCATAACCTCTCATTTACTGGTTTAAAATCTATAACTAGGGGCTTCATCTTTCGATCGACGATGAAGCCGGTACCAAAGATGTGATGTTTCTCATGACAGCTATAATAGGTATTGAAATTAGGTTTTTCTATTATGCCTTTTCCCGTCCAACGCATCTCCTGTATCGCTGTAATATTAGCACCGTGGGCTGTAAGCTGCTGACATAGCAATCTAAGTCCTGCGTCTCTGTACAGTGACCGTACATTCCAAGTACACAGGGTAAAATCATTTACCGTTTTAACATAGCCAGGTCGTTTTGTGAAGATCCGATCGGGTTTATTTACTTTTCCTTTTGTAATCATGTTTTGGTTTCAGATGAGTGAGTGATTAGCCCTCTGCACCCTAGACCTCTGATGGGGCTGCCACCTTTGAGTTCGAGGCCTAACTCCGTTTGATTTCGGGTATCGTCCCTGCCGAGTAGAACCAGTTATAAGGCGCTGGTTACTCGCCTTTCGCCCTTCGTCCTTAGCATCTGTGCTCAGATCTTGGGTGGTGTACGCGCAGTAAGCACGCGCACAGAAGGTCCCAGGGGGTACGACGGGGACGTGGACAGATCGGACTGGCTGGCATCTGCATTCTTGTGTACTCACCACCAAATACTGCAGAAAGCATATGAGCATT